AGTTCCGATTTTAGCGCAGTCGCGGCGGCCTCAGAACGAGCGGCGCTATTATGCACTAGTAGCTTGATGGCGTCACCCGTGCAACCTTGGCTCGGGTCAGTCCTCTATCATACTGCAGGCAGAGTTCCCCGATTCCCTCCCCCCCCCTGGTCTCATCTCCCTCTCGCTCACTCTAAGCACTCCGCTCGCCGCGCGCTCGACTCTCCGCTTTAACCCTCTCTCCCTCTCTCTCGCTCCCTCTTCTCGTCTCTTTATCTCGGTCCGTCTCCTCTTCCTCTCGATCCAGTGGCGTAAAGGGGAAAAGAGCTTCTCACCGCCTCGTTGCAATGCTTCGAAACTTTTGCTTTCTCTCATCATTCTCGCGTCCATCGTCGCGTGCACGTAGGTGCGAAATGCTGAGAATTTCTTCTTTTTTTCTTTTTCCTATATAGGAGCCGCATGGCGACATTGGTTACTCATCTCCGGTATAAAGAACGCGAGATTGATCTCGAGGCAACTTTGAAACTTTCGCTTTCTTTCGACATAACGCAGCGCATGTTTGCGCGTACGTGTGTCACGGCTGAAAATTTGTTTTTCTTTTCATATAAAAGCCGCACTTGACTGTCGCTCATTTACCTGTGATGTGAAAGAGGTTTTATAGTTTCGAAAATCTTGCTTTTTGCTGTGGCGAACGCGGAATCTTTTCTCGGGTATATTCAAATGTTTGTTTCCTCTCAAAATGATTCTCTCACGAGAGAAAATGATTCTCTGCCGAGATAATGTTTACCGAATTTCGAAACTTCAATTTCCTTCCAATATCTCTTCGCGATAAATGCCTCCAAATATTAAACTTATGTTTTTGTTTCACACAGCCGACACGATTCCCAACGAATTTTGTCAAGATCGAAATAGACAATGGCGTTAAAGTTGTAAAACTTTCTGGGCCGAATTCGATGTTTTAAAGGCGGTTTCTTATTGAATTTCCACAAAAGTGTTGAAACTTGACGATTCCCTGAGAGATCGCCGGCAGCGGGCTGCGTTTCAATGTGAAATTCGCGAGAAAAGAATCCTCCGTTTAGGAAGGGAGAACTGTGTGGCGATTCTCGCGTACGTCCTGCATGTTTTCCTACGCCCATGGACCGTGATCAGTCCTATGCTCGCGGCACAAACTCGGATCGTCATCGTGTGCATTCGCCACTCGTGTTTGTACGATCGTACCGACACAATCGATATTGCGTGGCATCCATTCCTGGCTAAATCACATATCGCGTAGACCTCAACGTTTCGGTAGATCTCAAATTCCTTTCAGTCAATACAAAGTTCAAAATTGGGACATCTTATTAATGCCCATTTCTAATGTAAATTAACCTTAATCTCGTTTTTCTTTTTATTCTTTTCTAATTCTTAGAACTAGAGAAAAAGATAAAAAGTAAGTTAAATTGAAATGAAAGTTACATTGGTAGAAATGGGCATATGATACGTCTTTTTGATGGTTCTCGCAAAGTCTTTAACCCTTTTTTACTTGTTTGGGTGTCCAGGACATCTGCTTCTAAATCTAAATTTGCTGAATGTTGTTTGTACATATTATATTTATTATAGCACAAATTGTTTTACGATTTAAATAAGATTTTTACATTTATCTTTATCTAAAGGTGTTAAAAATATTATAGATATTATTGAATTGTAAATCATTAAACAATGAAAACAAGGAGGTAGTGGAGTACCAGAAATTATACTACACGAGTGATTACGTTAAAAAAAACCACGCGAGTTATGTAGAGTTAAGACATCTTATGAGACATTTTGTATCCTAATTTTGAACTTTTGTTGTCCGGGCTGTTTCTTCTGTTTTTTTTTCGTATAAGACCAGAGAAATATCTAGCACAAATATGAACGATAGATAGATGATGAAACGAGACGTGGATGAAGGAAGCGAGTGATAGAATATTGAAAACAGCTACTCTCTTGTTCGATGAATCAAGTGATGGAAATGACAAAGGCATCGATAACGACGCGACAATGATGATAGGCGATAACGACGTTTTCCCTCTTTGCCGCTTCGCGAACGACGGCTATTAATACTTGATTGCACCGATCAACTGCGACATATACCTTTAAGCCACTCGGTGCGAAAACTAACGCGATAAACGCTGACACCGACTACCGACCCTCCGCCGCGAATCGAGATAATAACGCTACTCTTTGTCTAGGATTCTTTTGGGATGCGATTAGAACGTGCCTTTCCAAGGACAGGCTCCTTCTTTTATCGCAAAATGGCCAAGTTGTTTCTGTACGATATTGTTTCTGTAACGATATTGATTCTCTTATGATAAAGTGGCTTCCATATGTTATTGTCCTTCATGCTTCGAGAAAATATACGCTTGTTGCGTAATGAGCAAAAAAAGGCAGATCAAGATGCACATTATTATATGACCATTATGTTTAACTTATTATATATAATTATACAAGAACCTGCTAGAAAAAGTCATAAATCATTATCGCGAAAAGAATAGTTTTGCTAAAGTATTTAAAAATTCAGCTTAATAATAGATCTGAATAATTTTGTTGAATTGTCAGAATAATATTATCATAATTTTAAGTTTTAATAATAATTATATAAAACGCTTAAATATTGATGATAATGCTGTAAAAAGTTTTGATATTCTAACAATTTGAGCGTTCTACATAATTATTTGGATGGTCCAATAAATTTATTTTCAGATCTGTATTTAATTAAATTTTTAGATATTATAAAAAATCGTTCTTTTAGCGTATGAATAATTTTGTTGAATTGTCAAAATAATATCATCAAAATAATTGTCATAATAACAATATTATGTAGATAAACGGAACGCTTAAATATTAATGATAACGCTACAAAAAGTTTTGGTGTTCTAGTCAGTTTGAGTGTTTTACAACAATTATTTGAATAATTCAACAAAATCATTTTCAGATTTATATCTAGCTAAATTTTTAGACATTAAAAAAACTGTACTTTCTGTATATTATATATAGATATAGCTGTATATTATATATAGATAAAGATTCGTATGTATATAGTAAATAATAATGCAGAAATGATTTGCAAGACTTTTTTTAATCGCACCTCTTTTTTCAGTGTCCGACAGCTACAACAGTTATATAAACATGTATGGCGGAGGTGGACAGTTTGCAACCCCCTGTACCCCGAGCCCGCCGCGGGGACCCGGCGGTGTACCCACCAGCGTGATCCAGGCGGCTACCAGTTCGGTCTCGGACGATCTCTACCTTCTCGAGCTCGGCTTCCCGTCGCGCTCGAAGAAGAACAAGCTGAAGAAACCACGACAGGGTGGCGAGGGTGGAGCCGCAGTGAAGCGGAAGTCGCGCGAGGGTTCGACCACGTACCTGTGGGAATTTCTGCTCAAGCTGCTGCAGGATCACGAATATTGTCCACGCTACATTAAATGGACGAATCGCGAACGGGGCATCTTCAAGCTGGTCGACAGCAAGGCGGTCTCGCGACTTTGGGGCATACACAAGAACAAGCCGGACATGAATTACGAGACGATGGGCAGAGCACTGCGCTATTACTATCAGCGCGGCATCTTGGCGAAGGTGGACGGTCAACGGTTAGTCTACCAGTTCGTCGATGTGCCGAAGGACATCGTTGAGATCGATTGTACGGGCGCATGAGACAGGGAGTCGGCCCGTCCCGCGGGGCATGAGAGGGAGAAGAGAGAAAAGAAGGAAGTAGAGCAGCACAGCGTCTCGGCGCGGGCCTCGCGCGAACGTCGACCACCGCCGTTGTCGTTATCGTTGTCATTGTCGTCGCTGTCGCTGTCGCTGTCGCTGATGCGACGTCGCGGACCCGTCGTGGGGTCCTATCCGCGCGAAAGGTCGCCGTTCAGCGGTTCTCTTTATCGAGACGCGCCGACCTGGCACATCCCTCAGATGTTGTAAAGCGCGTCCTCTTTTTCTCCTTTTCTTTTTTTTTTCCCCTCTCTTTCGCTGTCTGTCTCTCCCTACCCGCTTCTCTGTCCTTTTCTATCTCTCTCTATTTCCATCTTTCTCTTTGGCTTCGTTTGTTCCTTGTATTATACCTATGTAAATGTATATTAAGACTCTGACGATGTCGTCAGAGGTGATCCCGACCCAGTACTTCGTCCTTCTCCTGCGGCCCGTTTCTTTCTCGCGTATCCGAATACCGTATAGGATCGGGACAGGACGGTGCCCGACTCGTTGAAATTTGTACAAAATTTAGTTCTTAACGTGTCGAGAATGGGAAAAACTAAAGATTTTATCTGGTGTACCTTGCGGGAGGGACACTATGGACAAATTACTTAAGCCGCGAAGCACCGGAAAGCGAAAAATTGTATATTCGAAAGAGCGACAAATTATTTATTGTATATTAGACATTTATATATGTTACCTAAGAAAATTGTTACGCGCGTGATCTGCGCAAATGGAAAATGTATGGAAACGGATGAAAGTTATAAAAAAAAATGAAACGAAATGAGGGCTGTGAAAAGGATTACGATACGGAGAGGAGAGAAGAGAAGAAAAGAGGAGAGGAGACGAGACGAGATGAGACGAGACGAGACGAGACGAGACGAGACGAGACGAGACGAGACGAGATGAGATGAGATGAGATGTGTAGTGGAACGGGAAAGGATGAGAAGCGTCTCTTAAAGTTTCACGGAGCGAGCTCAGGGAGGGTACACATTATATTTTTTTAAGTATAAGCGGAAGGGTTTGACCCTTCCGATTCGTGAGCTGAAGGTTCAACAACGCAAGGTGCTGGCTAATAAACATGCATACACGTATACACACACACGCACACGCGCACACACACACACACACACACACACACGCACACCGAGGTCCAAGAAAATTATTATTTAGCAACCTAGTGTTATTAATTCGTAAAGATTATCGATGCGGACAATTATATATCTCTGTATATAAATATAAAGAATACCTTTAATAAAAATATATATATATATTATTGAATATTATATATATTATATAAATATATCTATTGTATGTTATATAGTAAAAATGGAGCGATTTGATGTATCTCTATGAGATTTTGGCGTCACGGCGACATGCGTTGGGCGCTTTTAACCATCTCGCGCGACGTCTCTCTTTTGAAACTTTGTATACTTATCTAGTTTGTTCTTATATACATTATATCGGGAACGAATTTTATACCTTCGGAGGAGCGCCGATTTCGCGCTCGAGCCTTCTAAAGTCGCAGTCATAACGCACATACATATACACACGTATATTGCTGGTCTCGCATGCTCAGACTGATCAGAGACGTCGCGCATACAATACAGAGAGAAGTCCCGCCCGACGCACGGGAAACGTAATAATAAAAATGCATAACTCTAGAGTAAAATTTAACTTATTGGCGCCCCGGGACGCGTGACGCGCGCGAGTGCAAGTGTATCCTATATAGCTCTAAGTTTTGTACATAAAGAGGAAATCGTCAAAAATATTATTTACGTTTCGGATGAATGTAACGCTGGTTATCCCCGTGATAATTATCCATGGGAGAAAATGAAATGACGGTGGAAAAAAAAAAGAGCGGATGAGGAGCGTCTATCTAGATCACGCGCGACGACTAATATGGCTGATCGCGCGTACACAGGCCGATTTGTCGCATTACAGCCTCGGGATATATCGGAGAAACGAAATATAACAGTATATTTGAACAGTGATCCAGTGCTGCCAATAATGCCTGTAAATGGTCCCTTTGCACTTGTCGCTCGAATCGAGCCACGCCATGGTGCTGTCAGATCAATCCGATGTTTTTGGGACACCAGATATACCGATGATACAAAGCAAATTGCCTTCTCGTATTAACAAAGACGTGTTGCCTTCTAACAAAAAAAAAAGATGCATATAAAAGTTCTAGCGATTTGTAATCGTAAATGCCGTCACTTTGTCCAGGTACTTAAAAACCCTTTACATATATATAAAGTCCTAACATCGTTTTTGTGACGAATTGAATTTTGTAATTTTATCAGCGAAAAGTTCTTTGGTACGTGGTGACTTTTATCGTACTTCGAATACAATGTATCGGCGGGAAATAGTAATAATATTATTAATGATAATATTAATAATGATAAAAAAAGAAAATATATCAGAGTACAATGGACAAAAGTACCTATAGTATACCACTTCTATACATGATAACGGACACTTATAAACAATGAATGGACACTACAACAGAAATCCTATTTTTAGGTAAATTAAATTTACATATACATAACAATCCACTACACTACGAGATATTTTAACAAATAAGACTTTATTATAATAGAGATAAATACATAATTATTTACCTGTAAAATATATGAAAACACGATGGATTGACGTAAGGAACTCTAATGTAACGTTCTGTGATTCGTTGTTTGTAGGTGAAATTTAATAAAAGATTATTGTATCATAATATATACATTCATGCGATTTTATTTTTTATTCCTACAGTTATAATAATTTTCTTAAATTCTTTTGGATTTTAATTTTAATATAAATTTTTATATAAAAAATTAAAAAATTAAAGAATAAAAACATATAAGATAAAATACAGAATAAAACACGAAATTTTAACAATATAATTAATATGATTACATGTAGGATATATAAGGTAGAATATATATTCCTCCCAGACGAGCTAGAGTCCCTCTAGTAAGGAGTCAAGTCACAAGGAGTATCGATCTCTGATTGGTCAGATTTCGAGTCCCTTTAAACGCCGCTATTTGCAGATACTTTCAATGGGTAGTGAATCTGCGAATTGGTATGAGCAACTATTTTATGGTGTAGAAGGCGCGAACGCGAAATCGGACTATCAACTATCAACCATGGTGGAATTGTGTCGTTTCCGGGCACCCAACCGCATCTTTCGCATTCTTCCGGTCTTATGTCTTAACTCTTACTAGAAGAACTCTAAGATGAGCAACTTTGTAGCGCCAAAATCGAAAACACCTGTTCATAAGGAATTATTCTGTGGCGTTACAGAAAAGTGTCGCGAATACGTTCACTTTTTCGTAGGCGCTACAAACTCGCTGTGGCGCTACAAAGTCGCTTGTCTGTGAAGCCCTAATAAGTTTATCTTATGGCTTAGCACACACTGGACGCGGAAACACTTGTCGCGCGGCAAAATGTGATATAGTAACCAATAAGCTTACAGCTCCTAATATGTTCATTGTAGAAACCCTATACCAGAGTCTGGACACGAGAGAGATAACTTTTGATTGGTCCGTCGTTTGTGGCAATTCCCGCTTCAATTCAAACTTAGATAACCTTATAAATTCAAATAGGAGAAATGAATACATAAACTTTTTAGAATATTTCTTATTACAAATTTATTAGAATAACTGAAATATTTGAAAATCTATAAATATTGATGATAACAATTACATACTGTCTGTAAATACTAATAATATTAATGATATTCATAATAAAAATATTTATTTTAATTATATTAAATATTTCATTCATTTTATGGTATAAAATTCAGACATACTAACTTCGCAAAGAAGTGAATTATTTGTTGGTATTCAATCTTCTCAGTTTTTTTACCCATACAACTTGTCGTTCAGGATTTTTAGAAAATCTTTTCATTATATAATATATATCCTTTAGCTGTTGAATTATTACAATATGGAGCGTAACTACTCATTTTTATTATAAATATTTAATTAATATGATTTTATTCTTAATATTAATATTTTAACGCTGCCAACTGCGCTGCCCTTGAATAAAAAAATATACATATACATATAAATATATGTATATCTTTCTCTCTTGTAGGATTTTGCCAAAATTGCTCGTGTCTAGATCATGTTGGAAATATTAGGGAGCGTTTATATTGGCCTTATGCCGTATGTTGTAATCTGTAAGAATTGACTCACAGTCGAGTATTCCCTTCTCATTCGATAAGAAGGGAATACTCGAAGGTGATTGGTCAATTTTTACAGATTACGGCATACGGCATACAGTTACGGCCAATATAAACACTCCCATACATGGTGTGTGCAGTTCGCCAAACCACGCCTACTTTTGCTCCGCGTCATCTATAGTGTGCATGAGTTACCAATTGTGAAACGCGAAACATGGGGCGGTATTTATAGTCTGTTCTTATTTTAAAACCGTCTTAAATAATGTTTTAATCCACATAGCAATTTCCTTAGAATATCCTAATTTGATCAGATTGATCTTATTCTGATCTAAAACATTAAATCGTCCATATGATTATCTCAGGACATTTGTAATTATTATTGTACTATAAAACTTGTAATATAAAAAGTCTCTAGGATGTCCTATTTCAATCCGATAGAATTTTGATCGCTATATTGATAAATTGTATTTTTCAACATATCTTTGCAATTTAATTTTTTGTTAATTTTTTTAATGTTTACATAAATATCCTACACAAACATACTGAAAACTATCCTTTGTTTCAAGAAAAATTATTTAATTATATTTACTTTTATATGTTATTAATTTGACAGTTAGTAATTGCAGACAGATATAGTAATTTCCAGCTATAGCTTACTTTGTTTTACATAATTTATTTTTAAATAAGTATATCGTTATTCATTAATTGAGAAAGCAAAAAGAGTCTTTGATATATTTTATAAAATCGGTTCTATCGATTATAAGTACTGTTTTAATGAAAATTTTTTATTTTACTAATTAAACTAATTATGAATAAGTCTATTTTAAAAAAGCACTTTTAGAGGCTCTATGAGCACACTCTGATCAAGTTAAGAGTAAGTGACGAACTTCATTCATCTCTTTATAGAGATTCGCGTAATTTTCTCCTTACGGTAAACGAGTCCATCTCGCGGCGATATTACGCTATATACTATTCTGCCTGAGTATACATATAAGCAAGCAGCATCTCTATAGGTGCATAATATTATTTAATATTAAATAATATTTTAGGTATACTTCCAGAATATTAAACGTAACACTTAAAGAATATTTTATTGAAATTATATATTAAATAATATTATTGAAATATTAATAGATGGTTATATGTCCTCTCCCGATAATACAATATTACATGATTATTAATGGATGTACGTAAAATCACATCGAAACATTATTTAAGCACAAGACGCAGCATAGACTGATAAGACATTTTCGTTACTGGATTGTGAATTTAAACTGCACTAATATAAAAATAATTAATATTAATAATATTTTAGGGATGTTAAAGGAAATATACCAAAGATATTTATATAAATGGATATAGAAAACTTTCATAACATTAAAAAATATTATACAATATTCTCTATTATACAATACATCTATCGAGATGAGGCTTTATCTGGTTTCTGGCGGATAGTATAAATTAATTGTTTATCCGTTCTGATAATAGTTCTGCGTCGTTCCAGAATGTATTTAAAATGTTTAATTGTTAAATAAATTCCTAAAAGTTCTCGATCATAGGTATTATAAGAACGTTGAAAGGAATTTAATTTTCTTGAAAAGAAAGCAACAAGCTTAATAACTCCATCAATTATCTGTTCAAGTGATGCACCAACTGCCAAATCAAAAGCATCACAAGTTAAAATTAGAAGAACTGATGCTGGATGAGTTAAAGTTGTAACCTGCATTAGTTTTTACAATTCTTGAAAGCTTTTTCCGCGTGCTTTAGGAGTCCATGGAATCTTCTAATCTTCTAATCACCTCTTCACCTCTTCTAATCATCCTGCTATCTTTGAGAAATTCTGTAAGTATTGCCTGATTTTTAGCTGCATTTTGAAAACATCTTCTGTAATAATTAATAATGCCTAAAAGTCGTTTCAAATCAAGAAGAGTAGTAGGTTTTTTATAATTGATAATTATTTTAACTTTTTCAGAAGTCGGTTTGATTCTCTGACTAGGAACTAGATATCCGAAAAAAATGTTGAAAATGTAGACCAAAATGTTGAAGTCGCTCAAAGATAGTGCGTAAGTGTTTAAGATGTTCTTCTTCAGTAGAAGATGCAATTAGAATATCATCCAAGTAGCAAAAACAAAAATCTAAATCATTTAATACGTTATTCATTAGACGTTGGAAAGTCTAAGCATTGTAAACCAAAAGGCATCACCAAAAATTCAAATAGGCCAAATAGAGTTATAACGGCTGGTTTATGAATATCTTCCTTTGCCACCAGAACTTGATAATACGCCTTAACGAGAATTTTGGAAAACTTCTTATCATGAAGACCAGCTATAAAATCCTGAATGTGCGGTAGAGGATATCTATCCGGGATATCTATTCGGGATAGTAGCTGCATTCAAAGCACAGTAATCACCGCATAATCTTCATGATTTGTTCGGTTTAGATATCATATGAAGTGGGGCTGCGCAAGATGTAAGTGATGCTGGAAGGTCGACAAATGCCTTGCTCCATCATAAACATAAATTCGGCTTTAGCAAATTTTAATTTTTCAGGAGACAGAAGTAAAAAATATCGATTGACCCTCTGTTAAAATATGATGTTCAACTCCATCGTTACACGGTAGAAACCGCCGTGAATCTTGTAAGATTCAGAAATTCAGCTAAAAGTCTTTGGTAAGTAGAATTCGGTAATGCAAATAGTAAAATGATTAACCACCGAAATTCTTTCATAACACGATAAACCAATAATGTTGTCGATAAAATGTTTATTTTTTACATCAATAAGTAAGCCGAAGTGACTAAGAAAATCTGCACCTAAAATAGAATGCGAAACATCTGCGATATAAAATTTCCATTTAAAAACTCTTCGCAGATCAAGATTTAAAGTTAACAACTTGTAACTGTAAGTATTTATTACAGAGCCGTTAGCAGCAAAAAGTTTAATAGAGGCTGGCGACAACTTTGGGCAAAACTTTCTTGGAATAAGAGAGATATCAGCTCCTGTGTCCACGAAAAAGCGTAATCCAGAAGACTTGCTAGTAAAAATGAGGCGATTATTAACAAGCCCATCCATTCCATTGTCTGATATCTCGACATCCAACGGCGAAGTTAGTTTTCCTGTTTATCAGTGATGGTCAAAGTTTCGGACATAAAACGAGGTACAGTACATTTAATAGCTTTTGTACCGAATTTTCTATGATAATAACAAATTTCAGAGTTAGATGCGTCGGCTTTATCTCTTGACTTATATTTAAAATTCTTTTTCCGGTGAAAGTTAGACCATGATTTGCTTCGCGAACATTTAAATTCAAGAGCTGAAATTCTTTGTTCTAGGTCTGTTAAATTAGACGTCACAGCGTCAGTTTTAGTGACTTCTGAAATCGACTGTCTAAATGGCAGAAGATTTATCTCTTTTTATTATTTCTTTTGATAGCATTCCGTGAACATTGAATTTCCTCAGCGTGAAAATTAAGCTCTCAATCCGAAGAAATCACGTCGTGATATTTATCTCCGTCGAATATCAACGTCCAAATCACGTCAGAATCACCAATTTGTGGATACTTGCTACACAATGACTACATTTACACGACACCCAATCGGGTTTAATATATCTCCGTAGTTCTGAAACTAGCCAATCACAGTTGTTCTATCCTTCCGAGGAACAGCTATGATTGGCCAATTTCATAACGGATGTTATTAAACTCGATTAAGTGTCATGTAACAGAGATCAATGACTGGTCTATTCAGCTTTTAGATATGAAACTTTATTCAAGGATTTTGTACAAGATGACTGCACGAGTTACAGACAAGAAGTGAACAAATGTATTATGTAAATAAAAATCTGTGTTGCTAAGAAATGGTATCCAAAGATCGATTTTTACAGGAAATTTGCGAATAAAACATGTGAATTAAGAAAGTGAATTTATCATGTGTATGAAAGAAAAGTATGAGAATGTGTGATGATAAAGTAGGGATCTTTAAAGTAGGGATGGTAAGTCTAGTGTTGAGACCACCATAATAATCTATTGGATCCTTAAATGTATTTTGGACAATTCTATTCTGTGCGTAAAGACTGTTTTGTAATTTAATTTTTAATTCTTTTATTCCTATAAGCGCAAAATATTCCCAGAATGTTATATGGATATTATTAAAAAAATTAAAATAAGTTATTACAATATTTTGAGAATATTATATAATAATTTTTAATATTACGAGAATATTCTATAGAGGTTATATGTCCACTTACATAATATGCTTGATATAGTATTTTTTTATATAATATCCCTTCATTATCCTTGACATATTAAAATATTTATAAGTACTATTTTTAATTTAGTGCAATTTAAATTCAATAACAAAAAATTTTTGTCAGTCTATGATGCATCTTGTGTTAAAAAAAATGTTTCATTACGCTGGTAATATATTTAAATACATATCCAGAACTACAACTGCGCGCCAAAATCATTTTCAGTCTTTAAACGTGTAATACTTATTTTGAACAGATGTAGCAGTTTTACAAATTAAAGTAAATGCTATTATAATACTTTTTAATGTTTAAACATTATTACAGTAACATTAAATAATGTTATTTTTAATAATAATATAAATAATATTATCAGGAATGGACATATAATAATCTATTAATATTTTGTGGATATTATTTAATATTATATAATTTTATATTATATAATTTTTTAAAATATTTGAAATGTTATATTTAATATTCTAAGAATATGCTTAAATGTATTACTTAATATTAAATAATATTATGTATCTATAGGGACATAGTCTATATTCTTTACGTGACAAAAGACCATGTTACATAAATTTCACGTAAATAATTCGTGTAAACGTAATCTTAAAATCTACGCACTATCCTGCCCTTAAGGATTTGCGATCATAAATGAGTACAAAATATATGTTGCTAGTTATTATGGCTGGTATTTTTGTATACTTTTTTCTTTTTTTTGTATGTAGAATGCTATATTTTTATATATCACTTTTTTTCTTTATTTTTATTTAATTTGTTTATTGCACTGACAAGATACTATTAAAGACCGACATTCTTACGGAAGTTTGAGTCCTTTAAAAATTGAAAAGTGATTAAGAGTTAAAAACTGATAATATTGTACTACAAATATATAAAATGAGGCTCGAAAGAATCTATCAGTGAAAAAGCCCATCAGAGCCTACATCAGCTGTCCGGATGCACAGAAAATTCTTTATTTTCGTGTGAATGTAACAAAACGAATAAAATATACGTTTCAACTCTTCAATTCGGATCCTTATCAATATAAAATATAAATCGAAATTACATAAATAACGTAAATTCCAAATTGATGATTCTCGATAATTTAGTTCGTTCTTCTTTATCCAAATGCTAAATTAGTTATGTAATGAATAGCTCAATGATTATCAAAAATATTAACTTATATAATAATAATGTAAAAACTTACATAAAATAAAACTGAAGTCATATACATTGCGTCACTAAGTAGAATCACATCGCTCATCAGATTGTCTGATTTGCTGTGTAGTCTCTCTCTCTCTCTCTCTCTCTCTCTCTCTCTCATTCAAAAGAAACACGAAAACTAAAAATTAGAGAATTAAAATCATTCGTCTGAATTTTAATTATATCAACTTTCATGTAAGCGTTTTCTCGCGATTCGACGTAAAGATCTTGTGGTCAGAAATACAATGAGAGTCAAAATAATAAAGTTATGTAGTTTAGTATTGAAATAAAAATAAAAATAAGAACAAAAGAGGATAAAACCAACGTCACAATTCCGTAAACAAATTCATATATAGTGGGTGTGTCTAAAGAATACGTATCATTCTGTAAATTCAAACTCTATTTCTGTTGCTTTATATGGATCGCTTTCGAAATCAGTCTTTTATTAAGTATCTTTTCCTCGTCTAATATCTTGACATTTTCCCAATCTCAAAATCATGTTGACGACTAATTCTGTATTCTATTATTACGGAATGCTGTGTACGTAATGTTCCAATTTATGTGATTTCTATGTTCATTTGCGTGTCTTCAAATATCTACCTGTTTGGCCCACATATGATGCTTCATAATCTCGACAATCAATTTTATATATAACGTCTGTGTGAGATAGCTTAGAACGAATGTCTTTATAAACCCCTTAAGATTATTAATCCCTTTATATTCCACGTGTACTAAGGAGTCTTTTTTAAAAAATTTTTTTATCTTTTCTGATAAAAGTGGTATAAAAGGGATTGTTCAAAAACTTGTGATTAATTTTATCTTCATTATTGTCCGTTGTCTTATCTGTAGGTATATGTTATCCTGTTTTGGTGTGTCATTCCATTGTAAATTTTTTTGACAATTTATTTTTGATTTCAGAGAATATGAAAGTTTCAGTGGATATCATTGTTTAAAAGAATTTTAATTATTAATTCGAAATTCTCTTGATGGTAAATAGGGGCTAGTTATTACATAGTCATTACATAGCTAATTTGAATAAAGAAGAACGAACTAAATTGTCGGGAATCATCAATTTTGAATTTGCGTTATTTATATAATTTTGATCTATATTTTATATTGATAAGGATCCGAATTGAAGAGTTGAAACGTATATTTTATTCGTTTTGTTACATTCACACAAAATAAAAAGAATTTTCTGTACATCCGAACAACTGATGTAGGTTCTGGATGGGCTTTTTCACTGGAATATTGTACTTTTATGATTTATTAGTTTAATAGACGTATTTAGATTCAATAATACTCAATTTTTCTTAAAATTGTGATTTTAATATTATCGTCAAAGTTTGATTATCAACAGAGATGATAACTGCAGAGAAAAAATTGTAATTTTTCTGCAATATGTAGAATTTTGTTGAGCTTTATAAGTATACATTTATTTATGGAATATTTATATAATAAAAAATCATAAATTTAATAATGTATGAACCAAATATTTATGTTAATAATAGCAAAATAAATTTATATCAATTGTCGATAATGTCAGTGTTCTTCAATTACCTCCGGACCGTTGGGGCCCTTTTTATACCGCCGAAAATTTGCCCAGGGTTGACGATCTTTAATAATATCTCTCCAGATAGCAAAATACTTCCACGATATTGATATGCTGAGCGTAAGGCATACTATGTGTGCCGATACCGTATCTGTCACGTATATGCAATGTATCAATTCGCTAGGTCATTGTTAACGCATAACACATAAAGCATAAGAAATTCAACCAATCAGAGTTCTTTATTTCATGGAAAGAAAGGAAACGAAAAACTTTAAGAGTATATCCACATAAACTTGCATAATCACATAAACGTATGCATAAAGAAAATTATCCAATCACATTTTACGTGTGTCTTTATAGAAGAAATACGATTGGATAATTTTCTTTATGCATATGTTACGGCCCGACTTACAGTAACAGTAATAGTATTTTGTGCGGGTATCGTAGGATATCGCACTTGATTATTGAGTCGTCGGTGTTGATTGCAATTATCTCTGTCGATAATCGTAGTCAACAAAGAAATTATCATTGTCGATAAGTAAATTTCTATTTGTAAAATTTACGTAATCGATAAAATAACTTCGCTAAGAAACTTTTAGCGATTCGCAATGGTATCTTGAATTCTTATAATTTTCAAAAAACATTTTATTATAATTTTTACGCAACAATAAGTACAAATTGTTGATTGGTTGAATTTCTTATGCTTTATGTGTTATGAGTTATGCAAAAATCTGTGCTCTCCATTTATAAAGCGAGGAGCACAGATTCTTGCATAATGCATAACACATAAGAAAATAAACCAATTAGGCTACATCTACATAAACTTGCATAGTCGCATAAAGAAAGTTATCCAATCGCATTTCTTCTATAAAGACGCACGTAAAATATGATTGGATAATTTTCTTTATGCAATTATGCAAGTTGTGTGGACATACCCTTAAAGTTTTCCTTTCTTTCTATGAAATAAAGAACTCTAATTGGTTGAATTTCTTATGCTTTATGTGTTATGCGTTATGCAAGAGTCTGTGCTCCCTGCTTAAAGCATGTATTCCGACGTAACTGATATCTAATAGGTTAAAATCTTAACATCTATTCCTGTTTCTAATATTTCCTTCATTGTGCGTAGAGCCTTACGCAGATTACGCTTCAGGGTAATGTCTCATGCAGAGGATCGTGCGTAAACTGATTCACGTATCGTCAATCACAGAATTATTCTCTTAGATCTGTTTGTAAATTTCGCAAGATCTAATGCCTCCGGCACACCAGCGTGATGTTCGTCGCGCGCGATATCCAATGAATGTATAGCTTTACCGATATTCTCATTCTAAAGGTGTACTCATCATCATTGGATATCACGTGTCGCGCGCGATTAACATCGCGCTGATATGCCGGAGCCATAAGAGAATGATTCTGAGATTGGCGATACGCGAATCCGTTTACGCACGATCCGCTGCGTGGGACATCATCCTCATGTAAGCACCCTGAGCGAAGCTTCGCTAGCTACATTTTCGCACGAATCGAGTGGGGAGTCTTCGCTAGCGAAGCTTCGTTGCTTGAAATTGTACCTTAATGATGTAACGGTTATATATAACCTGACCGATAAAGCTAGTCGATTGGATCTTTGCTATGATTGGTTTAATGTTTGAGCAAGCGTCCAGTTAACAAGAGGTGCTATCGGAACGTTGACCGGTGCAGAAGTGAGAATAGTGGGAATATTAGGGGCTCCACACAATAAAAGGAACAGAGAACAGAGAATAACAATTTGACCTATCAGAAATCATGTACTGTGGAATACACAGTTTC